ACCTTTACTACAAATCATTTGAATGTTTACCCAATCCTTACATCAATGAAGAGTTTATTCTTATGAATGCGAGTCAAACACAGTATAGAATATTAATAAAATAATTGCGAATATTCTTATGAATGCGAGTCAAACACAGTATAGAATATGTGGTAATAATAATACAAATACAGAATATTCTGTTAATAAAAAGTACTGTCGAGACAAATGTGTTAAGAATTGTCATCAAAAATACTATTCAGTAGAATTGGAGGACAACATATATTCGGCACAAAATGACAGCAGAATTAGAATTGAATACAAAATAAATCAAGAATTTCACTACAATTCACACAAAAAGTATTCATTCGTAGACTTCCTGTCAAACATCGGAGGACTCATTGGTTTGTGGTTTGGGATGTCTTTCATAGATACCAGTGCTCTCATTAGACTCGTATTAAACCGCATCAAAGTATTCATTAACGTTTATATACACTTTGAATTTTCACTAATTTTACAAAACCTAAAAATTATATTAAGAACAATATTTGAAAAGTTATCAAAATATAAATGGCAAAGGTTTATTATAATATTAACATTACCTGTAATATGTATACAAATATACATATTAATTTATGATTATTTGCAATATTCAACGCAAACTTCAATTGAATTAATAAAATATAAGAATAATAACAGAATTCCGTTGCAATCGATTCCAGCGATTACTCTGTGCTATGAAAACACATTTCAACACATTTTGTTTGATAAGAATATTCGGAATTATTTTATTAATAACATCCTTAGCGAAGGACTTACAGCGTCTAGTATTAAAAAGAGGAAATTATCTTTAAAAACAAACAATCTTTATATCAAAAACATTATTAAATTTTATATAATATACAATAAAATTATGAATATAAAAAATACTAATTCTATAATTATTCAAAATAGAATATCAGGAAAATTAGACCCAGAATATATCGATCACTTTATTAATGAAAAACAATATAATAAGTATTTTATCAAATATCTCGACGTTACTACTAATGAAGAATATTTGGAAAATCTTCAAAAAATTTATATAAATCTTATAAATGCAACAAATGTTGATTTAGATTTTTATTCGAGTTTAATTCACTGTCACACCGATTATCGATACAAATGCCATAAACTGAGACCAATTGTACGGATATTGTCCCCATTTGGCAAATGTAACACATTTTTGTCGGATTATAAGTCTAATTCAACAGAATTTGAATTTACAAAAAGTATTCATTTCAAAGAGATTAGTGATTTCTTTCATATGACTGATAACACAAATATCTTGAGAAAGAAATTTGTAATTCATTCGAGAGATTCGCTGCCATTAATTACAGATAATTGGATTGAATTTAAAGATATTCTGAAGATTGAAACAAAACTAATTAAAATCCAAACCTATTTATTAAGAAGTTTGCCGAAACCATACGACACTCAATGCTTTGAATATACAGGAAATGAAACACAATTTCATTGTATGAATAAATGCTATGAAAATAAATATCATGATAAATATAATTGTATTCCCAAAAATAATAGTCTACTGACCATTGAATTGGATAAATATTATGCACCTAATATTAAATTTTGTTCAAATTTTAATGTTTATAACATTAGAGATTTTAACAAAAATATTGCTAAATCCTGCAAATCACAATGTCCAGTTTCATGCTTAAATAATTTATTCACTTGTAATGCATTTAATACTAAATCAATAGACCGATATAAACAGTCAAATTTTCAGTTAGATTTAAATAACATTTTTTATATCGAAATCATTTATTCAGCAAAAATATCATTCATAGGACTAATCATAAGTATCGCCAATATATTGAGTCTATGGCATGGAATCACTTTCATTGGTTTAATAGAAATAACTATCAATCGTATCAAGCATACAATCAGGAATTGGAAAACTTTTATTAGAAATATAATTTTAATTAATATAAACTGTTTCCATACTCAAACTATTATTAAGGTAACTATTGTTTAAATAAATTATATAATTCTATAGTATTTATGTCAAATACAGTACAATACATAAATTAAAATATTTTATATTTTAGCGCATATTCTCATTAATACTGTCGGCGCTACTTATCCGCCAATTATACTCAATATCTGTGCAATACTTTCACTTTGATTCGCACACTATCATCGATACCACAGACTATGAATCCGATCACAACTACCCGTTTGTGTCTATATTACTACACATCCATTTAAAAGAATTTATTCTAGGTACAAATTGTCATTTTTACAGACAGAAAATGTGCTACCTTAATGCAACAACTATTCAATTATTTAATAAGAAAGTAAATTCATGGTATTTAATGAAATATACGATTAGTTCAGTGCATGACTATCCCATACAGTCTATTCAATCAGTAGGTAGTTATTATAGCCAACCATATTTCAGTCAAATTAGGACATTGTATTTGAATGAATCACACTTTAAATCATTTAGAAATTATGAATTCCTTTTAATTAAACAGCGATTTGCCATTTATGGGGCGTATAATATTTTTCTACACTCTCAACAATACCCTGTTATATATGACTTTGAAGGTATTCAAAAAACAACAAAAGGCTTTAATCACACCGTTATTGTGACTAAGACTTTGAGAACTTATTTACCTAAACCTCACGGAAACTGTAGTTATTATGACGGGAGTACTGGTGAACAATCATTCGGTTCCACATCTCATACACAGTGTATGAGACGTTGTATCGGATCCTATTGGGAACGACACCATAAATGTTATCCACTTTTTATTGACAATTATTGGTATGAATTAGACTTTAAGAACTTGAACAAAAGATTATGTTATTATGCAACTAGAGGGTACCCTGATCAAAATGAAAAATATTATAACATTAGTATGATTTGTATGAACTATTGTCCCAAAGACTGTCTAACAGTTGAATATACTTCTCGAATAATATCAACGGACACACAAATTGGTAATAATTATTGGTATAATTTAAGTTTGGATGAAAAGATTACTGAAAAGTCTTATATTTGGGACTCAACACAACCCCTGTATGTCTATCGGGAGGAACCGGTGCTGTCTTTGACAGACTATATGTCATATACTGGAGGACTGTTTAGTCTATGGTTTGGCACTAATGGCAAAGACTTTACCCTTTGGTTAATAGACACCATTCATGTCATAAACATTTGGTTTTCACACAAATATAATCAATACTTTTCTAATAATAGGGTTCATGTCATATACTCTTAAAAAGTAAAATTTAAATGAATAGTAAATTAATTTATAAAATAACATTACATTCAATAAACTATTTATTTATTTATAGTTTGAGAAGAAAATAGAAATTGTGTTTTAAATATAAATATAATTCTTTGAGATCTGAATACAACATATGAACTTGATTCTTGAAAATGAACCTGTTCATTTCAGAGTTAAGTGTTTGACACGTTGTGGTCGAAGTGATCACATATTCCTCCGCAAGTAATGTCCCGAAAGCAGTGTCTAATGAAACGACTCGTTCATCGGCTCCAGACGTGAAGCCATTTGTGAAGTCCGCGGACACCATCACAACAAGGCTTCAAAATTTAGAGACATTTAGAGACAAAGTGTTCAATAATTTGAAAATAATTTTTAATTTAAAAAGTTTTTAACAAATTCTGCCCAATGTTTTCATCAGTTTTTAATCAACTCTTCACTCATTTGTCACAACTTTTACCACAAAATCAGTTCATTTTTAATCAATCACTTCACCAACACATCCACAGACACCACATATTGCCCGAAATGGTACCGAAAGATTATCCTCAAAACACGCCATCAGTAGCAGTGATCCAATGAAAAGACGGCTTACAATTCAAATGTTTGTTTCGCCAAAATCGTGTCAATACTGACCGCTACCTAACACTTATAGTTCACTGCAACACACAATTCGCCACAATTTGGATGTAATGCCAGTAATGACCGAAAGAATGGGTCCGCAAATCGCCCCCTAAATGATAGGCAGGGGTTGCAGTGGATTGGGTCACAACACTATCACATAGAGACCAATGAATTGCAAGTGAAGGTGAGATTTTCAAATCTCATTCAATCCAACAAATGGTGACAAAACAATTAGAGGACAGATATGCGATCCAAGTGTTTGACTATTCAAATGAATGGTAAACCATTTGCTAAGAAATATCGAGACATTACTGAAACCATTGGTGTTGGAAACGAGAGATGTCTCCAAAACCACAGCCAAAGAGTGGTCACAAGAGATGCGATCAACCGATTCCTCGACAGTATATGTCCACAAAGTGGTGGCCAAAGAGTCGCAAAAGTTTATGCAATTCTTTTAAATGAAATGAAAATAAATTATTTAATATTAGAGAGAAATTTAAATAATTTCTATATTTTCTAATTAATAGCACGAAATAATAAATGAGTTTTTAATTTGCTATTTATTCCTGATATTGATTTTTCAATTTATTTTTAAAAGCTAATCAGTGCTTAACTAAACATAATTTTTTACATGACTTGAGAGAAACATTTTCTAAATGTTAACACAAAATCATAAATGAAAAGTGCAGTCAATTATAGATAAAAGTCTACACAAAAATCATAATAATTAGCAATCATTGTATTGTTCGTGATTTTATAGTTATATTCAAGTCGATAGTAATACCACTATTTCACTAGACTTTGACTTGTATAGCAAAAAACATTACACCACAATATGTTTATTATTATTATTGTCTATACGTTTACAGTGATTCCTATGAATATTTCGTACTTTCGTATTACATAACATGTATAATAAATTTCATATAAAAATAACACACAATTCACGCCTGAATTGACATTTTCCATAACAATACCCACTCGAGAGCCCTATTATTAATGCCATTAATCTTTAATATCACTTATCAGTCGTCAATACGACCCACTGTTTCATACATGCAGTGAAATACACACAGAATTTGTTTGTCATATTAATATACAGTAAAAGTCATGTTTAATATAAGTAAGTAATGACAAAAAAAATAGTGTAATAGTCGACAAAAATATAATGTTTTATATTTTTTTAAAAACTCATCTTATGATTGAATAACAATTTTTTCACTGATCTATACAAATGTGATAAAAAGTTTGAAAAACTTTTAATAAGCGATTAAAAAATGTGTATTAATTGACTGAAAACTTGTGGGACGAGACGTTTGGCAGGACTGTGGGTATAATTATTGCAATTTTCCAACTTTTTTAATGCTATTCCTATGGACTTTACAGAAGCACTGGTATGCCTGGGCTGGCATTGAAGCCGCGATAAGTCAAGCATATTATTATCATCGAAACACACATACCGTTCCCCTCTTTATCGGCGTCCCTCTCATATCGCTTAGGGTTTGTTGTGTTACTGATTAGAGAGAAATTAGTCCTCATTTTGTTGTATACTTTAACTCATAATTTATTTTTATTATCAATTGATTCAGTGTTACAGTTGAGGGCGTATACGGTGTCGTCTCTCTCCACCACCACTCTCTACATACAGTTCCCATTCAGCTATAGTTCCCATTGTATATAATGTCGGCTATCAATCTAAGCCCAGACACGGATCCCACTTTATCCGCGTTAGTCGACAGCACCACGAGATTTGTGTCGCAAAACTATTTATGGCTCCAAAAGCACTACACCTTTCCCAACGACACCCTCAAAGACCTGGAGGAATGCCGTCAGAGGGTTCCTCTCAACGACGCCCTCATTGTCCTCTTGTTAGCCATCGTGTGGACGATTGCCAGGTTTTCCGCCACTAAATACATACTTACGGTACGAATGGTGTTATTTTGAAGTTATTTTCCAAACCTATGTATACTTTTTGCCTCCATATCTGACAACGTTATCACTAAACCTTATGTTGTATTCAAAACACACAATATTTGTAATTTAATTCAGAATAGTTTTTTTTAAATGCTTTATTAATTACACGTCTGAGAAAAGTTTTTAATTAATGTGTATTTTCGCTAATACTAGCCGTTTGCACGTGTATGCGGAATGTCCAGGAGTGAGACCAAAAAGTACCCGGAGTGTGCCTGGAAGTTTTTCTACTATTTATTCACATTCTCCATCACTTTATATCTAATTTTTGGCCAAAACTGCTGCAACTACTTTAGCCAACGGAGTCTTATATGGAAAGGTATGTCAATCTGTTAACTCATCTAAGTTTTTATATTAACTAATTGTGTATTTGATAGACTACTCGATCAACGACTCGATCCCCGCGAATGTGCGGACATTATATTTGATTGAAATTAGTTTTTACATTCACTCCATATATGCCGTCATATTTCTGGACGAGTGGCGGAAAGACTCGTTAGTGATGTTCAGCCACCATATCATTACACTGGCGCTACTTACGCTATCCCTGGCCACTAAGTATGTGTCCGAACAAATTAAACTAAATTAGATGTAAATATTTTACTCCCATTCCCCTGACCAGAGCCCATAGAGTGGGAGTACTTGTGCTGCTATTACACGATGGCTGCGATGTCGCGATGGAAGCGACCAAATGTTTGCTCGCATTTAAGTCAATAGGAGGTCTGTTTGGAAAGTTTATGGATGTCTTAAGTGGTGTGGGATTCATACTGTTCCTCAGCTCGTGGTACGTATTGTGATAATTATCTTAAGAGTTGTTTGAAAATTGATGAATTCATAAAACTATTAATAGGTTTGTCTGTCGCCTGTATTGGTTCCCATTGAAAGCCATTTACTCGAGTTCCGAGTATTTTACTCAACGCACCACTAAATTCCCGTTTATGGTAGTCCTGTACTCCCTGTTATGGCTTATACTAGCTATGGATGTCTACTGGTTTAGTGTATGAATTAGTTTATTCATTATATTTGGCGCAATTATTAATTTGAAAATGTTTGCAATTTTTCAGTTTATAGTCAAGATTTTGGTTAACATAATAACCGGCAAATCAAGGGTTGAGGACAACCGTGAATACTCTGAGGGACAGTCAGATAAAGCCATAAACCAAAGGGCAGTCAATGGGGTCCACAAACGTGGTAAACAAAAGCAACACTAGATTTTTGTGGCAATGATTTTTCGATACAAATTTTTAGCTCATAATTGAATTACTTTTTTAATGAATTACTGAAATTTATGTGAATTTGTGTGTGAAGTGAATACTGAAAGTATTTTTATGTTATATTTTTAAAGCCATTTATTTCATTATTATGTGTCAAAAAAGAAATTCATTGGTCTCTTGTTTTTATATATAATGATTCAATTCGTGTCAAGATATATTAAATTGTTTTATTAATTTAATTGTCAAAAACAAACTTACGTTTTAATGTTTTACGAATTAAATAAAGATTTTTATTTAAAATATATATTTTGTAACTTTTATGTTAAATTATTAATTAAGTGATAAAAATTATTACATTTAAGATAGCATTAATTTATTACTTATGACAAATTATTAGGCAATTAATTATAATTATATTTATTAATTATTTCTACAAAAATTTTTATTGGTTTTTATTTTTGATTTAAAATCTCATAATTTAAAGTTAATATACATATTAATATACACACTGTTTTAGAAATATTAAAATATTAATTAATAGTTTCAGTTATTAAGTCAATAGGTCCATTAAATATTGACTTTTACCTACAAATAAAAATGGACCAAGCACACTATTAACGTTGAGATTACTACAAATATAACACTCGAGTCAATAAAAGCCTATGCATAGCAATAGGTGGTTGAGTTCACTACAGAATATACGGTTAAAAAGTGCACAACAAATGTATACACAATTGAACGCAAAAATTCTGCGAAAACCACTGCAAATACAGTGAGAAGTGCTGTAAAACACAATCGATTTGACAGACATTGAGAAAGTGCTGTATATATGGCTATAAATAAATATATTTCACTACACTATATATAGCGAGCACTTGTAGGTGAAGGCCTGCCAGCGACACATCTTCCCAGTAATAAATAGATCGTAACCTAGACTTCGAAGGCTAAGCCTTGACACCGGCAGACCAGCTCCGGGAGACCTTCATTCAGGCAAACCTTGACTCCGATTCATTGAAAAAGTCTTTTGACATTGAATTTTGCAGTTTCGCTGTCAGTGTGTAGAGTATGTGATTGTGTGCCGTATATTGCCATTGAATAATTGGATCGATTGTAATGGCATACAGTAAACCACAATTCAGTTCACTGTTAGGTATGGTATATGCCGTGAATCCATAGGAATTGTATATTACTGTACTTTCATATTTTTTGATATCACCTGTGTTATAATAAACCTTAACTTATATTGTAGGTATTTTTATAATACTATATAAAATAGTAATCAATGTATAAGAATATTATTTGAATAAAGTTCTGATGTATATGAATACCATATTACATTCATAAATCATCTGTATGTATATTTTTATTTATGTTTAGTCTTACTTTTATTTTTAATAAAATACAGTACAGTTTAAGAATTATTTCAAAGTAAATAGCAATGAAAGTTTATTTGTATTTTTACTTTTTATTAAGTTTTCAAACAATTATTGTTTCAGTTGTGGGAAATGCATGTAAAACTGAACGCAAACCCAGTAATGAGATAAGTATTGAATTAGTATACATTTTTATATACTTTAATTTCCCAAACAATTAAGTGATAATAATTATGGCTTAATATAATTGGTTTGTCTGAATAATATAAAATTATAAAACAATAAAAAAGCTTACTATAAGCTAAATACAAATGATAAATAAGACATGTTTTATAATGTTAAATTAAGTAATATATTGCTTTGGGATTTAAAGTATCACACGTTTATCAAGTTTAGAAATAAAAATGTATTTATTTAAAATGTTTAACAAAGTGTTTAATAGTTAAAATACGTATATTTAGTGTATTAATTTTAAAAATAAAAATTTTAGCTTAAATCTATTGCCATAAATCTACTAGATGCAAAAATAGTAGTTATTACAGAATCTATAACAGAATTTAAGCGTGTACAATTGTAGCGTTTTGTTATTTTAATACCATTAGATATTAATATTTTCATATAAAATTAATTTATAGTAAATTATAAGAGATATAAAATAGTGATATTTATTTCCCTATTTGTAAAGTAAAATGTAAAATATAAAAACCATTAATTATCAACAAAAACATTAAGCTATCACAAAATTGAATTAGCACAGTGTCATAAATTAAAACTATTCAAAAATAAAATATAAACAATTACATTAACAAATATATTATAAATATGTTCTTAACAAACAATTTTAATCAAATATGTTTTTATGAACTAAAAATGTCAATTATAATTTATTGCATAAATACTGTATATTCAATGACATTTTCCCATTGATCACTATTATTAATACACGTACTATTAATAAGACTTTTATTGTTTAAGTTTTGACACTATCACTGACATTATTAACTTGCTTTAACCTAAAATCCAATTCATTTTTATAATTATCCTGATATTTATCTACTAGAATAGGAACATAAGTCTCAATCATTTGAATGAATATAAGTATCGCACAAATCATTGCCGATAAACCAAATGAGTACATGAATACATTGTCTACAATTAATAATATATTAGTATCAAGCTCATTGGTCAACACATAGGGCACGAATTTGTGATAAAAATACATAAACGATAGGCATCTGAAACATTCAAAATGTAGCGAAAATATCCTATTTTCCAGTAAAAACCCGATACTTGTTATGGAAATCAGTAATATAAGTATGCAATAGAAAACAGTGACCTGGCTAAAACTTTTGTGACTACTTATCAATAAATAATAAAACGCTATAATTAAACCAAAATGACAAATAGTATAAACATTCTGCCAAATAGGTATGCTAGGTGACCAGTACTGCACCGGGTGTTCAAGCAATGGCACTCCACAATTTGCATAACAATTAGCGTTGAGTTCATTGACAGCTATACTGACAGATAAGATAACAGTAAAAAGTATTGTTTATTGTGAACGCAATGCAAACCACGTGTTCGTGACGTCAGTGGAGAAAAGCCGCGCTTTAAATGCAAAACAAAAACAACTGTTTTGTCCGCAAATGTGCCCTCAATTCAAGGTAATCATCGATTAGATCCGGAAGAATGCCGCCCAAGAAGTCGAATAAGAGATCCGTGAAGTCGGTGGTGGTCTATAACGATGATAAGGATGTGCTGAAGATCTTAGACAAAAGCAAACCCATTGTCCTATTGAGTGATTGCATGCAAAACGGGTTGATCGCCAGCAATGGTAAGGCGTCTGAAGATACCAGCGATGAGTCCGGCGGTGATGATAACGGGGATCAGTCGGTGACTGTAATGAAGAATCGCGTGATTAATGGCAACTACTTTATGGCTCAGTCGTCGCGTCCGAAGACCTCGAAGAATGCGTTCACAAAAGTGATGCAAAACTTTGATTTAAGCGAATCCGCGATCAAAGAGATCATCGAAAGACAATTCGCGGACCAAAGGAGACATTTAATCGATACTTATATTAACAACAATTGCTTCGAGGAATGGTTCCAGTTGTTGAAGTAATGATTAGTGTTTTAAGAAGTTTTTTCATTCAATTTATCACTTATTTGATGTCTGTTTGTGTCAATCAGTTGTGGTTTCAATGCTTTGGTCTACGGGTTGGGCTCTAAACGAAAGCTATTGGATCTGTTTGTCGCTCACTGTCTTCAAGAGGAACACCATATTGTGATCAATGGCTATAACAATGAGATAACTGTCAAGAATGTAAGGCATTAGACATACAACTCATGAGTTTTTGACTTATTTTCTGGTTTTAATTAACAGATAATTAATGTCTTGAATGAAGTCATCAGTGAATCCATTTTCGACGAAATGAAACTAATCGACAGATTAAAGGACATCGACTTTGATCTCTATCTAGTGATCCATTCCGTAGACTTCCTATTCGCCAATAACCCCAAAATGAAGTCACTGTTCAGTCAAATGGCTGTCCACTGCCAGCGTCTGCGGTTCATAGCGAGCGTCGACCACATAAACAGCGGTCTCTTGTGGTCGACCACTGAATCCAATGCCTATAAGTGGTTGTGGTTTAACGCGCCGACGTATGAGTCGTATACGATTGAGAAGGCGTTCAGCACCGGGCTATCGATGCTGAGCGGGTCCTCCAAGAGTTGGCACCAGTCGCTCACCTACTCGTCCGTCAAACATGTCTACGACTCGCTCACGAGTAACGCACAGAAAGTATTTCTATTGATTTTGGGCTATTATGTGGAAAGGGATGCCGCGAACACTGGGTTCGCGTTCAGCGACTGCTATAGTCTTTGTCGCGAAGAGTTTTTGGTCACATCGGAGCTGACACTGAGGGCACAGATCAGTGAATTCAAAGACCATAAGCTCCTGAAGTGCAAGAAGGGTGCGGACGGAGGGGAAGTCATAGTCGTCTGCATTGATAAAAGTATTGCTCAGAAATTCATTGAAAGTCATCAGTAAATAGCATTTAATTAATTGTATTTTGTTTTACTAATCATTGGTTTTATAATAAAATTGATTTTTAATATAAATGTGTCAATCAATTAGTGTTTATTAATTGTAAACTTCATATTACTATAGCTTTATTGAGAGGTGTTTTGAGAGGAACTGTAGGTTTACTTTACTTTCAAATAAGTTTTACAGTTATGTTAATTAAATTTGCTTAAAATAAGATTTATTAATTAAATATTAACTACAATTAACAAATTATAGGACCAATAGATAGCTAAATAGGTTCCAAAAAAGTCTATTAATTCAATGAAAGTCTAAAGTTTGGAATTTTATTATAAGGAATAAACCAAACTATTGAAACCAAAAACTTTGAACATAACTTTTTAAATACATTATAAAATGTTTATTAAATACCGTAAAAGTTTTTATTTGTAAACTATTGTCACCACTTTCTATATAAATTATAAGTTTCGTAACACTTAATATAGCTTTTATTTATTAAAAGTGTGTTTATAAGTAAATTATTTTATTAAATGAATAAACATTTTACATTGTTTTCGCACAATTACTTATGAAATTGAAATAAATAAGTTTTTTGAGGTATTATACAATGCATTCACTTCTCTATACACGGTATGAATGGGTTT